AAGGACCCTGCGTTGCCTCCCAGCTCCTCCCTCTAACTGAGCACTGGGTCCTCTCCTCCAGATTCCGGGCGCCCAGGCGGGAACCCGGGCTGCAGCGCCCCTGCTCCACCATGTTTCCTATGAGAGCATCCGCATTCCGGACGCCTAGGGGAGGCTGTGGGAGGACAGGCGCCAGAAGGGCTTGCTCCGCCCACTGAGGCTACAGCTCCTCCTGAGTCCTGAGGAGGACTCAGCCTTGATCCCACTTCAACAGGGAACCTAGGCAATCCGGGCAGAAAGAGGGCTGGTGAGGGGACTGTGGGGCTCCAGGGAGGGGCTGGTCAGCGGGTACAGACTTTCAGACAGGCAGGAGAGAGACAAGGCAATAACAATGCATTGTTGCCAAGCAGGGTGGCTAGTGCGTGCCTGTAATTCCCGCCAGAGGAGGCTGAGACGGGAGGATTGCAAATCCGAGCCCAACCTGGGCAACTTAGCAATATAGCAAGATCCCATCTCAAAATAAGAAATAAATAAGAGCTGGGGAATGTGGCTCAATGCAAAGGTCTTCGGTTCAATCCCCAGTACGCAAAGGTCTTCGGTTCAATCCCCACTACTCCCCCAAAATAAGTATATTTCAGAATATCTAGATAGTCAATTTTTTTTCCGGTACCAACAATCAAACTCAGGACCTTGCTCGTGCCAGGCAGGCGTGGTCCCGCTGAGCTACATCCCGGCCCCAGACAGTCATTTTAAATGTCTTACTATTAAAATAATAGGTAAATAGGTGATGCTTATGTCAATTACTTTGATTAAATTTTTCTACTTTATACACATGTCAAAACATCACTTTGTACCTGATAAGCGTATATAACTATGATTTCTCAACTAAAAACATTCTAAAATATAAAATTTTCTATTTATTTATTTATTTATTTATTTATTTTTAGTACTGGGGATCGAACTCGGGTCCTTGCGCTTGCACAGCAGGCGGGGAAACCACAAAAAAATTTTGTTTTAATAAAATAAAACTGTAAAAAGAAAAGAAAGTTTCCCCTCCCTCAAAATGTAGGTTGGGCCGGGGATGTCGCTCAGTGGTGCTGCCGCCTGCCTCACAAGCGCAGGGTTCTGAGTTCGATCCCTGGCACCAAAAAAAGATAAAAGAAAACGTGTAGGTGCCTGCTGCCCTTCCCCAGCGATGTCACGATCCTACCGTGGGATTCTCGGAAGCCAAGCGTGGAAAGTGGAGAAAATAGAAAAAGGGATTTACCCATCCTGGGAGCGTCAGGGTCCCCCTCCAGCTCCCTCAGTGGAATCACAGGCTTTTCTACAGCTAAGCTTGTGCTCAAGTCTGGGTTTCAGGCCATTGTGAGCCCAGGCCGGGTCACCAGAGTGACACAGAGGGAAAACTGCCCGTCCCACTGCACTTGGAATTCTGGAGTCCTTTCCTTCCCTCCGGCTACCACTGACTCCACTGCTGTGACGAAGGACCTGAGATAATCAACTTAAAAAGGAGCCAAGCATGGTGGCGCATGCCTGTCATCCCAGCACTCAAGAGGCTGAGGCAGGAGGATCACCATGAGTCAGCCTGAACTTCATAGTCAGATCCTGTTTCAAAAAATAAATAAATAAACATTAATAATTACTGAATCTAGGAGGGGAATCTATACAAGAACACAGTGTAATTCTTTCAACTTTTCTATATGCTTAAGATTTTCTGTAATAGGGCTGGGGATTTAGCTCAGTGGCACCGCGCCTGCCTTGCAAGCGCAAGGTCCTGAGTTCGATCCCCGGTACTGCAAAAAAATAATAATAATAATAAATAAAATAAAACCAAAACAAAACAAACTTTAAAAGGGGGGGGGGCTGGGGATTTAGCTCAGTGGTTTCTCTGCCTGCCATGCAAGTGCAAGGACCCGAGTTCGATCCCTGGTACCAAAAAGAAAAAAAAGTCCTGGATTCAATCCTCAGTGTTGAAAAAGGAGAAAAACAAAATAAAGAGAGAGAGTTCAGCATGCCCTCAAGCCAGCTCCAGCAGAGGCCACACACAGAAGTGCCAGGCCCTAGATAGTCTCTATCATGGCCTGGAGTCTGCTGCTCCTTGCTCTAGCAGACAAGAAAATACAAAATCGTTTGCTCTGGAGGATGCGCTGGCTTTGAGCTGTATGCACACATTCCTTCCCATTCTCCCTTTTGGAAAGGCCACTTACTCCTCCAGCCTGGCGTGGCTGGACTTGGTGGCTCAGATGTAATGAGCCGAGCACGGGGACACGGTGCCGTGTGGCCCTAGACTAGCACCCAAAGGCGCTGCCCAGTCCGCTCTGACAGCGCTGGGGGAGTCATGAGGCTGTCAAGGAGGCTCCTTATAAAAGCCAGTGCCAACCCACAGGGACACAGAGCCCGAGTCAGCCTCAGTGCAGCCCTGTCCTCTCCCACCTGGGAAATACAGTGGACCAGTGCCACCACCGTGCAGCACACGCCCTTAGCTGGTCCCCTCTGCCTCCTGCCATGCAAGAGACATCTGCAATCCACTGAGGCTGGGGCCCAGCCTGTCTCACATCCATGAGACAAGGATGTCACACCCTCATTCCAACCGGTCACCCTGGTCCCATCCACTTCCGCTGGAAGGTGACGGTCATCTTCCAGGGGAAGGAGGCCACACAGAGCCTGGCTCAAATCCTTCTGAGACCCTCTGTGGGGCTAGCGTGGGACCCCAGCCCCTCCGAGCCCCCCACATCACCCAAGGGGCTTCAGCCACAGTGGAACTTGCTGGGGTCCCCTCCCTTCACTTGCCCTCTTACCCCATCTTCCTGTTCCTATCTCTCCCAGTCTATCGCTTGTCTACTTCACAGCTCTTGGTGCAAGTTATAGCATTGGTATTTTTTTTAATGCCAGGCGTGATTAAAAAAATACAGTGAAGCTGGGGATTTAGCTCAGTGGTTCCACTGCCTGCCTCGCAAGTGCAATTCACGGCAATGTGTCTTTTACTCTATGCATTTTTCTTGTCTTCTATATTTGAGATTTTATTGGTTGTGTTGAGGATCAGTACAGACAAAAAAAATATGGACCACTTCACGAATTTGCGTGTCCTCCTTGCACAAGGCCCGTGCTAATCTTCTCTGTATTGTTCCAATTCTAGCATATGTGCTGCTGAAGAGCGCACTCTGTGATTTTAAGGTAAAAATTCACCAAACTGTTCCACTGTGCATCTTACTTTCTCTGTCTGTGGACAGAGCCCCAGAAGAGCCACCGTTTACTGCCACAAGCAGCCACATGGGAGGCTAGACTTGGGCTCCAGGCCAGCCCCGTCCACCCTGGGCCACCGTGCAGCCACAGACAGGAGGACGCCAGGGCTTTTCTCTGGCCAGGCCCAAGCCCCCCATGGGTGAGGAGCTGGAGCCACCAGGGCAGAAGACACCCAGGCTCCGGTTCCTGAAACCCGGTGTGGCACAAGTCCCCCGAGCTGCATCCTCGGGACCATTTCCATCACCCCCTCCTGGGACCAGGCAGAAGGGGCCATCGGGCAGAGCTGTGTTTCATCCCAGCTTCCATCTGGGCCACAGGGACTGGACGCGGTGTCCACGGCAGGACGCCAGCACCCCAGGGCACCAGTGAGGAGTTCAGCCACAGGTTCAGTCGGCCGGGCTGAACTCTCTCATCCTCCTGCAGACCCAGTCACATCAGAATCCCTCCCAGCACCTCTGCCCTTCAGAGCCAGAGGGCGTTATGGGAAAGTCTGCCCCCTGGCCACGGCCCTGGTCCCCTCTGAAGCCACATGCCAGGGGAGGGAGGCTTTCTGCCCCATCCTGTGCCTTCTCATCAAGTGACAGCTGGGCTGTGGCGGCTTGAGGAGCCGCGTGAGGAGCACTGGGAAACCCTGGGGACCCACAAAGCCCACCACAGGGGCACGGGCACCGGGCCATGTGTCGGCGCTCCCTCCATGACAGGACAGGGGACAGAGGGCAGGGGGACGGAACAGTGCCAGGGCACAGCCCCAGCGCCCCGCCCTCCTGCCTGCGGCTGCCACACTCGTGCTCAAGTGGAGGAGACCCCTGTCATTGCCTGGCTGGGTCCAAGGGGCCTGCTGGCGACACCAGGTGCCAAGGGCTGACTCACAAATTCCATTCTGTCCTCACCCAAGGCTGCTGCCCAGCTCGAGCTGGAACGCAGGGGACTGTATGGTGGGAACACGGGGTACACAGCTCTCCGGATTCTGAGTCACATCTCACTTACGCCGCAGGGCAGCGCGGCCCTGGAACATCTGGTTACCCTGCGGGTCACTTCTTAAGCTGGAAAATCAGCCAGGGGAGGCCCGGGGAGCAGGATTAGGAGGACTGGTCTGAGTCAGACTGCCCAGGCCAGCGTCCCGGGTCCTGGGCGGTCCTGAGGTCACCGCCCCTGTGCTCTGCATGGACACAATGGAACGGCAGCCTTCGGGGCCTGGGCTGGTGGATGGCCGGTGGGTGACCTTTGCATCTAGTGCTTAAGATGGCCCAGCACCCTGGAAGCCTCACAGAGGCCTGTTATTAAAAGAAAAGAAGACCAGGTAGGGGCCTGTGCCTGTCATCCCAGCACTTGGGAGGCTGAGGCAGGAGGATCACAAGTTTGAGGCCAGCCTGAGCAACTTAGCCAGACCCTAGCTCAAAAACTAAATAAATGAATAAATAAATTAATGAAATTAAGTGTCTGGGAAAAGCAGCGGTCCCTGAGCATCCCAGGCTTTCCAGAGAACACAGGAGAATGTTAGCCTCTGGCTCCTGCCTGGCAGACAAGGCAGGCAGCTCTCCTTGGGGCCCCATCACCCCCACCCGCCCCCTTGCACCCCACTGTATGCGGTCAGTCACCCCCTCCGGCTGGAGAGAGTTGAGCTCGGCTCTGAGCCCCGCCGCCACCAGCACTGGGTTCGGGACCGCGCCCGGTCCCCCTGGGCCAACGCAGTTCTCCCCCGACCCGGGTCCCGCCAGGAATCCACGCCCCTCGCCCCTCCCCCCCTCCCGGGCCCCGGGGCCCGCGCGCCCCCTCACCTCCCCGAGCTGTGGGCTGGCCCGGCCACGGCCCGATGCGGGTCGGAACCGTCTACACCGCACCGGACCCCGCGGAAGGCGCCGCCCGCTCGGCCTGTGGCTCACCGGCTATATTTGTAAGCGGAGAACTCGATCCGCGGGACAGGCGCGGGTCACCGTCTACGCCTCCCGAGTGACTCAGCCCGGGACACCGGCGGCGGGGGGGGGCAGCGCTCTCCCCGCCGCTCACGGTCACCGGCCCTGGAAACCTGGGGCACCGGGCAGGATCGGGACAGAGACGGGAAAGGGCTGGGGGCCAAGCGGGAAGCGGGGTTAGAAAGCCACAAGAAAGCACACTTGTCCTCTCAGCACTAGGGAGGCCGAAGCAGGAGGATCGCTGAGACTTCAAGGCCAGCCTGTACTACACAGCCAGACTCTGTCTCAAAAAACCAACACCAAACAAACAAAACCCCATAGGACCCAGGGAATGGGAAGATTAATCAGCTTTTGGAGCAACGTGTACAAGGTCTTGATTTCATATTTATACTTTTTAATTTCCTAAAAGGTATGAGTTTAGAGTAATTTGTTTCACTTTGTAGAACTGGGGATTGAACCCAGGACCTTCGAGCTGAGCTACATCCTCTGGCCTCTTTTCTTTATTTTTTGAGAGAGGTTCGCACCCCATCATTGCCCAGGCTGAGCTTGAACTTTCCCAGCCCTGCTGCCTGAGCCTCCTACAGGGCCAAGGTTACAGCCCGCGCCACCACGCTGACTAAATCTAGGTCTTTTTAGAGTTCACTGGCTGGGTAACTGTCTCACTGATAGCCATCCTTGCCTGGATGTGACATGGACTGTGATGATGTGACAATAAGCCACTCATCAGTAACCCAGCTCCCTGCTGCCCCGGAGAGTCCTGCCCCTTCCTACCCCAGGGACGTAGCTCTCAAACACCTTCACCTTTTCCTGGGGCTGAAAACACCTTTTACGCCAAGTATGTGTATGTGGGTGTTGGACTGCGAAGTTGTTTTACTGTTTTATGAATGCCTATTAGTGACAAGGAGCGGTGGGTTTGATGGATGTCCAAACCTCGATCACTTCTGCACCCCTCACCCCTCCTCTGCCTGCACCCCTTTCCCTCACCCCTTCCTCCCTTCTATTTCCTGTTGTTTCACTTTTAAGGAGTATCTTCTGCATAAAACATTTTCTATTTATTTATAATTGCAGACACTTATTTTATTAGTTGTTGACATTTACAACTAAATTATTATTATTTGTTTTTCTGAGACAGGGTCTCACTCTGTATTCCAGGCTGGCCTTGAACTCATTATGTATCCCAGACTAGCATCAAAGACTTACAGAGATCCTCCTGCCTCAGCCTCCCAAGTGCTGGGATTATAGATGTATGCCACCACACCCAGCTCAAATTATTTTAAATTGCATACTAACTTGTTAGCAGTGCTCAAATAAATCTTTGTAACTATATTAAGTCTTACCTGTTAAGGTGTGCTTTTTTATTATTTCAAGGAGAATCTTAGAATTATTTCTTTTTTCTTTTCTATCTTTTTATTAGTACCTGCTCGCAGCATGAGTTTAAGTTATCTTGGGGGGTGGATGCAGGCACATAATACAGCGTGGTTCTTTAAATTCCTTCCCCTTCCCTCCACCTGCCTCCCTCCTCCCCTAAATCCCCTTTCCCCATTTCCTTCTTGTTAATATTATTAGTAACTGGCGTTTAGTTCCCCTTTTGCTTTGTTTTTTTCCCTAATATTCTGAACCAAAAAACTTAAACTGAGAAGGCAGTTTCAGTGCAGGGACTACTTAAATACTATTTCAAATTACAAGGGCCCTAAATATTCCAAAAGCTTAATCATCACTAAGTGGACAAGTTTTCCCAGGAACTGATTTAAAATACCATGGGACCCCTTTGTGATACTAAAGTGGGACCCCTGTCAACCCCAGGCCTCCGGACTACAATGTGCACCCCAAAAGGTGGAGAAATTGAGCCAGTAAAAATTAAATTTGAATTTCAGAAAAAAGTAACATTTCTTGTTATAAGTATGCCTTGGATATTGCAAGGTTTCACTTAAACTGACAAAGTATTTGCCAGGAATCAGAAACGTGCTGGAACAGAAGTCCTGGATTTGATCAGGTAGCCTGCCCCAGGACTGCAGGCTGGGTGCGGGGCTGCCTGCCTGACCCGCCTGAGCCAGCTGCCCTGGAGCCGGGGGACCAGGCCCGCTCTGCTCTGGCTAGCTGCCTTGCCGGGGTGCGGATTCACAAAGCCTGGCGGGAGAGGGGATTGGTGCTTTCCCCTGTGCCGCAGGGGACTGAGTCACAGCCCAGAAGATGAGCCTGGAAATACTTAGACACAAAACAGGTCGGCGCATGGTGGCCCGCGCCTGAAATCCCAGCTACTTGGGAGGCTGAGGCAGGAGAATCAAAAGTTTGAACCCAGCCTGGGCAACTTAGTGAGACCTTGTCTCAAAATAGAAAGTGAACTAAAAGAGAGGTTGAGGCTGGGGATGTACTGGGTTCAATTCCAGTACCAATAAGCAAATAAAAATGCAAACTGCTCTAGGCCAGTGAGGAATTGTCCTCACTTTGTTAAGCTCACTTCACAGACTGCTGCACCCTGGGCTGGGCGCATCCTAAACACTGTCCAGTTTCTGAGCCCAGGTTGGGGTCCCAGGGCTCAGCTCTTGCATGCAGTTGGGCTCCTGCTGGGCTCGGCTCTGACTGCAGCAGCCCCAGGCCTCCCGGGCGCATCCAGGCCTCCCCGGAAATGGGCTCGCTGGCCCAGGGTAGCTTCCGCCCAGGAAAACCCTTCTGGCAGCCCCGGCCCCAGTGCCCGAGGTGTAGGGGCTCGCACTGCAAACTTGGACCAATAAAAATCAAAATTAAAAAAATAAAATCTCATCTATGTGCAAGACTTACTATTTTTTTCCCTTCCAGTTTTTTTGGGGGGGGGGGTACCAGGAATCGAACTCGGGACCTTGAGCTTGCAAGGCAGCACAGCGCCACTGAGCTTCCAGTTTTATTTTTGGAAGCAAAACATTTATTGGTGCATTTCAGATACACATAATGAAAACTTTCATCATAGGGAATTTATACCTCTACATGATATATCTTGCATCTTTTTTTCCCATTGCCCCCTCTTTGAGCCCGCTTCCCTTCCTTATTTACAGAAGCTTTGTTTCCATTTTTTGCTTTTATTCTCTTGTCCTTACACACACACACACACACACACACACACACATACACACACATCAGGGTTTCCCTTCTCATTTGAACAGTTTCTTCCCATTTCCAAATAATTTTTTTTTTTTTTTTTTTTTTGGTACCAGAGATTGAACTCAGATCCTTGCCCTTGCAAGGCAGACGGCGGAACCACTGAGCTAAATCCCCAGCCCCAAATAACTATTATACACTTTAGTCCTTATTTCCACTTTCAGTTTCTCACACCAGAGAAACAATGCAATATTTAAACATGTGTGTCCAATTTATTTCCTTTAAGAGTATGGTTTTAAGGTGCGTCCATTTAGCTAGAAATGTCTTGAGTTTACCCTTCTTTATGGCAGAGTAGTTCATCATTGTATAAAAAACCCACATCTTCTTTATCCATTCATTGCTTGATGGGCATTTGAGCTGTTCCCAAGTTTTAGCTATTACAAACTGTGCCGCTATAGACATGGGTGCACATATATCACTGTGGTATGATGCTTTTAATTCTTTCTGGAAGATACCAAGAAGGGGAATGGCTGGGTTGAATGGAACCTCTAGTTTAATTTTTTTGAGGAATCTCCACACTGATTTCCACAGTGATTGCACCAGTCCACACTCCCATCAATAATGGAGAAGGGTTCCTTTTTCCCCAAAGCCCCGCTAGCATTTGTTATTAGTTGATTTCTTTTTTTCAGTACTGGGGATCGAACTCAACTAGGGACCTTGCGCTTGCAAGGCAAGTGGCAGAACCACTGAGCTAAATCCCCGGCCCTGGTTGACTTCTTGATAGCAGCCATTCTTTCTAGAGTGAGATGGAATCTGCATTGTTCTAATTTGCATCCCTCGAAGGACCAGTGATGTTGAATGTTTTTTCATATATCTATCTACTGTTTCTACTTCTTCATCTGAGAAATGTCTTTTCAATTCAGATGCCCATTTTTGGATTGAATCTTTAAACTCAGGGGTGTCTGATTTTTTAAGTTCTTTATATATTCTAGAGGCACTCTATTCTTTTTTTTTTTTTTTTTTACTGGGAATCAAACTCAAGGCCTTGCACTTGCCAGGCAGATGCAGTGCCACTGAGCTACATCCCTGGCCCATATTCTAGATATTAGTCCTTTGTTTGATGAACAGCTCACAAAATTTTTTTCCCACACTGTGGGTTGTCTCTTTACTCTGTTGGTGGTTTCTTTTGCTATGCAAAAGCTTTTTAATAAGATAAGATCCCAATTGTTGATTCTTTGTGATATTTCTGTGTGATCAGGGTTTTATTCATAAAGTCTTTGCCTACACAAGTGTCTTCAAGAGTTTTTTTTTTTTTTTGGTACCAGGGATCTAACTCGGGACCTTGCACTTGCAAGGCAGGTGGTGGAACCACTGAGCTAAATCCCCAGCCCTTCTTCAAGAATTCTACCTATTCTATCTTCCAGCAGATTTACTGTTTCTGTTTTTTTTTTTGTACTGGGGATCGAACTCGGGTCCTTGCGCTTGCGCAGCAGGCAACAAAACCACTGAGCTAAATCCCCGGCCCCTGTTTCTGTTTTAATATTTAGATCCTTGATCCATTTCAATTTGAGTTTAGTGCACAGTGAGAGATATGGAACTAGTTATAATCTTCAGCATGTGGGAAGCCAGTTTTTCCAGCACCATTTATTAAAGAGGCTATCTTTCCTCCAGTGAGGGTGTTTGGCTTCTTTGTCAAAGATAAGGTGGCTGAGTGTATTTGGAGTTCTTTCTGCATCTTTCAATCTGTTCCATTGATCCTCAGGTCTGGTTTTTTTTTTTTTTTGCTGGTACCATGCTGTTTTTATCACAGTAGCTTTGTAGTATAATTTCAAGTCAGGGATTGTGATACCTCCTGCCTTGCCTTTGTTGCTCAGAATTGCTTTTGCTGTTCTAGGTTTTTCTGGTTCCAAATGAATTTCAGGATTGTTTTCTCTAATTCTGTG